TCCAGTTTCTCCACAACCTCGCCAGCATTTGTTGCTTGCTGTTCTGTTAAATTTTGCTATTTTGACTGGGGTGAGATGATATCTCATAGTTGTTTTAACACCAGTTATTATTATGCCTGTATAGTACTTAGCACATTATGTGGCGTACAGTGCTAATTGTTGTTAACTAATTGGCATATCCTCTAGAATTTTCCTTAGAAGAATAGTATTGAATTTAAAGAATTAAAGAATATCTTTAGTCAATATGTTAAATTGTTTGGGTTTTATTTTTGCACCATAATGTCTAAGGGAGACATTCTTTACTAGTTATGCTAAACGGTTATAGACATTCTAAACTGTTATAAGGCTATACAGGGAGCTCTGATGGCCTAATGGTAAGAAGCTGTGCTGTGATCTTAAAGGAACATGGTTCAAATCCACCAGCTGCTCTATGGGGGAATGCTGGACAGTCTCCTCCCATGTGATTTACTAGCTCTGAAAACCTGCTGGAGGGTTAGCTGTGGGTTAATTCTAACTTGACAGCACACAGCCACAAAATACTTACATAGTTTTTAACTATTACAGACATTCTCAACTATTATATGGACTTGAACCTCCTATCTTTGAGTTGGTAGCCTACCTCCTCACCACTAGTCCACCAGAGCTATTTTCAGTGACAATTTGGGTTTTCAGTTTGTTTAGATCTAAGATTATTAGTGGGACCTGTGATCTAGAATACCCTCCTAGATGTATGCAGGGTACTTCACCCAGGAAAAAATTTACTTTCTTCTCAAGTATACACAATACTTTCTTCAGAATTGACCACATAGTAGGACACAAAGCAAGCCTCAACAAATTAAAAACACTGAAATAGGAAGTGTCCTCTCAGACCACAGTGCCTTACAGCTGGGAATAACAAGACGTTAAAAGAAAAAAGGAACACACCCAGGTGGAAGCTAAATAACACTTTGCTTGAGCACTACTGGCTTATAGAAGAAGTAACAAATGAAAAGTTCCTTGAAATGGATTAAAATACAACATATCAAACCCTCTAGGATTACAACTAAAGCAGTCCTCAGAGATTAGGTCATAGCAATAAGTAAACACCTAAAAAAAGGGAGAAAGATGCAATATATAAACTACTTAACACCTCCAGGAAATAGGAATCAACACCAAGCCAAGCAAAGCCCACAACTTCCAGAAGAAAGGAAATTACAAGGATAAGGGCTGAAATCTTTGGGACAGAAAACAGAAAAATAATTGAAATTATCAGCAAAACTGGAGTTGTTTCTTCAAAAAGGTTAATAAAATAGATGCACTTAAGGGAGCTCTGGTGGCCTAGTGGCAAGAAGCTGTTCTACAATCCCGAAGGGATTAAAATCCACCAGATGGTCCGCTGGAGGAGGAGGGGCAATCCTCTCCTGTGTCAGTCACATCAGACTCAATGGTACACAACAAGAAGAAAAAAAGGCAATAAAATAAACTTGAGAGAAGACACAACTAATGAATAAGAATTAAAATGGTGATAATCACAGTAGAAACCACTGAAATGAAATAGATAATGGAATATTATGAAAAGCTATACTCTGATAAATTTGAAAACCAAGAGGAAATGGACAAATACCTAGAAACCCACACCCTGTCCACATTGACACAGATAGAACACTTGTCACAAAAGAAGAGATTGAGCAGGTCGTAAAAACCCACCCCCCACCCCAAAGTCACAACCTAGATAGATGGTTTCCTGGCTGAATACTACCAGACATTCATCAGAGAGGTACTATCGCCAATTCTACTTGAATAATTTTAAAAAAAAGAGGGGGGGGAAGGAACACTCCCAGAATCATTTTAGGAAGCAAGGATAACTCTAATACCAAAACCAGACAAGGACATTACCAAAAAGAAAACTATAGCCCATTATCTCTCATGAACATTAAATGCAAAAATTCTTAATAAAATTTCAGCCAATTGAACTCAAGAGTATATTAAAAAATATTATTATGACCAAGCAAGATTTGTAACAGGAATGCAAGGATGGTTCAACATAAGAAAAATAGTTCTTCTAATTCATCAGATTAACAAAGCAAACTACAAGAAACTCATGATTCTATTAATGATGCAGAAAAGGTTTTTGAAAAAAATTCAACACCTCTTCCTGATTGCACACTCAGCAAAATAGGAATAGTAGGGAGTTTTCTCAACACAGTGAAAAGTGCATACAGAAAACCAAGTGCCAGCATTATTCTTAGTGGAGGGAGACTATAAAGGCATTCCTTTTTCAAACAGGAACCAGACAAGAATGCCCACAGTCACCACTCCTATTCAGTACTGTATTGAAGTTCTGGCTAGGTCATTAAGGCAAGAGAAGAAAATAAGAGGCATCCACGTTGGCCAAGGGGTGGTGAAACTATGGCTATAAGATAGTGGACACAGAAACTCCAAAGACTCCACAAAAACCTAGTAGTCTCTGCTAATGTTGGACATAACATGCTGCTTCCTGGGAGAAATGAAAGATGGTCATCCTCTTCTCATGAACAGTGATAGCTTTGGAAACCTAGTGGGGAATCACTGTGACCCAGAAATGACTCCACAGCATTGGGTTTGAAGAGGGTTTTATTATTAGGAATTTCATTTTAGAATAAAAAGAGTTTCAAACATTCAGTAAGCTCATACTAATAGTAAATTTTATGAGTTCTTAGAAGTCTTGAAGCCTAAAAATAATTTTTGAGGCATTGTTTTACAAGTAATTGGGGGGAAAAAAATTGTTCTATACACTGTATTTTTATCCTAGCAATAAACTGTCTTGGAGATGGTGAAAGCAAGTTTCTCCTTGGAGGCTAGGATTTTGAAGTCTTACATACTCTGGGCATGTGGCCAGGAGGGACCGATCCTTGGAGAAGAAAGAACATCATGCTTGGAAGGGTGGAGGGACAGCGCAGGAAAGGAAGAACCCAGATGAGATGGATTGATACAGTGACTGGGGCAGTGGGGGTAGGTAGGTAGGTGTGTCAGAGTCAGTGAGACTGGCTCAGGAAAGGGCAGGGTTCAGACCTATTGTACATAGGGTCACTAAGAGTTGCAGATGATTCAGTGGCACATAACAATAACAACAATAAACAGGGAATATCCATGAAGAGAATTCAATCCAGGGTTTGCCAATCTATGTTTTCTATAGAACATCACCGCACTGTCATTTTATCTTATGGGAAATTGGTCTACTCTAGGGAAAGGACCAGGGAAAAGGAGAGGCCCAACAATCAAGATCTCTGGGGTGCAGGTCAATGTGAAATCCATTATCCAGCATGAAGAAGAGTTTGAGATGCTGCATAAATCGATCCCTGTGGATCCTGAAGAAAAAAAAAAGTAAGCCTGTCATATGTACATGTCTGGTTGTCCCATGAGAAAATTGATGTGAAGGCACAATTTTGTGGTATTTTCATTGGTCTTTTTAACATATCAGAGTGCATTGCTGTTACTGTAATTTTTGTTCACTTCTCAAATTAAAAAGGCTCTTCTAACATGCTCCTGATTTTAAAATTCCCACAGGTATTGTTTAACGTGTCGTGTTAAAGCTGCACATTTTGATGTGGAGTGGGGTGTGGAGGACGATTCTCGCCTGTTGCTGGGAATTCATGAACACGGCTATGGAAACTGGGAGTTGATCAAAACGGATCCTGAGCTCAAATTAACTGACAAAGTAAGTGACTGGGCTGCTGGAGGTGTCTGGACAATTGGTTCTATAGCATTTTTACAAAATAAATTTTGTAAAGTTAATACAATCATAAATTCCTGGGGCAATATTACCATCTTTAGTTAACAAGGGGCACTGTATCAGGGGTCCAGATCAAGGGGAAGTCAATAGCCAGGTGAAATTTTTAGGAAATTATAGGAGCAATCTTAGAACTCACTTTTTGTAGGTCAAATTTCATTACAGCAAATACCACGGTAAGAATCTTGATATTGATAGTATTATACCCTTATGATACCCTTTGGTTAAAACTCTGTTTGAAACAAACATATTTTAGTTTTCTACCCATAGAAAATGAGCTACATCTTGGTATTTTTTGTAATGGAATTGAGCTTTGGGGACATCTCTCCCACACAGTCGAGCCTCCCACTTTCTTCACTGTGAGTCAGGCTACCGAGTGTCAAGGCCACAGCTAGAGCTGCAAGGAAGGACAGCTGGCAGACCCAGCTTTTAGTGAATCTTCTAAAGGAGGCTCTCCCACTACCTGCTTCATGCTGCACTCCAGAGAGGGCTCTGCTTGGCTCATCAGCAATGCTCACCCCATGTGAGCTGTGAGAGGGTGACAGCACCCTCCTTGGAGCACTGAGATCAAATCCAGTCTGGACCGAGAGGTCCAGCTGGGGAAGCAGGGAAAGGATATGTCCTGGCGTAGCTCAATGCTGTCCGGCAATGCTCTAAGAAGCATTTTAAATCTAAAATGAAGCTTTAACCTAGCTCCAGGGATTCCCTGCTCCTGGAAGGAGGAAATCCACGTCGGCTGGGATGCTCTAGCAGAGGAAGCCAACAAGCCCCTCCTACCTGAGTTGTTCTACCCTGTTAACAGCACAGGTAGGAGCCAGTGGGAGAGCTGGATTTCTCCATCCCATTTTGTAAAACAAGGATGGCTCATGAGGGATTGTTAGTGACTGGGAGCCATGGACATGAGTTAGGATCTGAGGCTTTATATTTTGGGTGGTTGGGGAGGGAAAGGACTGTGCTCAGGACTTGTGCTCTCTCTGTCCTGACCCACTGACCTGGCTGTGGGGTGATGGTGGGCGCTTCTCTTCTTTCCTGTTGAAGATTCTGCCTGTGGAGAGTGATAAAAAGCCCCAGGGGAAGCAGCTGCAGACCCGAGCGGACTACCTGCTGAAGTTACTCAGGAAGGGTCTGGAGAAGAAAGGGGTTGTGAAAGGCGGGGAAGAGGTGAGTGCGGCTTCCTGCTCGGTGTTCGTCTGGGTCTGGGCCTCTGACCTTGTCAGCAGGTGGGACCCATGATGTAGAATACTGTGGTCAGGTGCAGCTTTTTTAGTTCAGTGATAATCATTTTGGCTGATGTTGAAACTAATTTGCTAATTATAGTCATTTAGGGAGCTCTGGTAAGGAGTTGCACTGCCATGAAGGCAGGTGGGATGAATCCACCAGCTGCTTTAGATGGGCTTAGTCCTCCCATGCGAATTACTGCTAGAGATCCAGTTGGTTCTGACTCAATGGTCTGTGACAACAATTAGTTATTTACTAATTGGAAAAAACAAACCAACCAAAAAGCCTTGGAAACTTTCTTTTTCTTTTTTTTTTAATATTTTAATGAAAGTTTATAAAGAACTTGGGTTTTCATTCATTCATTGTTGCACATTTTCCTCCTTGTCCTGCTTCCCCCCATCCCCAGTTCACGTTTTTCATTTCTTTCATTGTTATACAGTCGTTCGCCAACCCCTCAACCACTTGACTGTGCAACTCTTATTCTGGACTCTTGTCATGCCAATAATACTGATTCATATGTTCCTTTTACACAGTTCTTTCCCTCGTCTGTTTCAAAGCTGTGTCCATTATTTATCCCCCCATTTCTTACATTCTCCCCACCCCCCATGTCAGTACTATTCTATAACAGTGGGATTACACAGTATTTGTCTTTTTGTGACTGAGATATTTCACTCAGCATCCTTGGAAACTTTCTAGCAAACACAGTAATGTCAATATTATCACAAAACAGTCCTTTCTTCTAGTGCTACTGATGAAGATATACTATTGCTGATTTCTTTGAACTGTTTGCACAATTTGAGAATGCAGTTCTGGTTACTGTATTGAGTACCACTGAGTTTGCCTGTTGTTATATGCAGCTGTGGTGTATGTAGTCCTGAGTAAGCTTGGCTTTAACCCAGAGGCATCTCTGGTGATTTGAATCCACCAGCGACTCTGCAGGGAAAGAAGGGAGTCTGCTCGCCTTGTGATAGAGGCACAGACACCCCGTGGAGGATCACGGTCAATTGGAACCGACTGTGTATCAATTTTGAGTTCCAGCTCTGAATTGCTTGCAGTGTTGTATCCCACAGATACGATAAATTGGAATTCATGGATAATTCAGACACTGCATTTTAGCTATATTATCTTGCTCATGGAAAACAACTAACAGGGTTACTGGTTAACTCGGCTTTACCTCATTTGATTTTTACATTATTTTAATTCAGGCTTAGATTGATAGAGAGTCACAGTTAGGAGATGCTCTGAGTTTCAGTCTCCACTTGTAGCTGTGTGTGCATATGTCTTCAGATGTTCTCACAGCTTTGCAATTTGTAATAGTTTCCTTTTATTATAAACAAACTTTAGGAGAAAAATCATTATAATTGCATCTCTTTAACTTTGTGTCTGTTTTCATATAACAGTGCCATTTTTCAGTTAATAGGATACTGTTATTTATATCTATCTATGAATATAAGATGTTTTCCCTTCTTTTGACATAAATGTTTAAGATGAATTCCTAAAATAAAGAATGAATAGGTTTAACGGCATGACTCTCTTAGGTTGTGTATAGTCTCTTTGAGGACTGCTGGGTTTCTTCTTCCACATACACTTAATTATAGTCTCTTGATTTCTTTCTGAATTCTCTTCTTTTGAGTTACATGGCTTCAAGAAGTCATATCATTTAGTCATGCTTTTGATAGTCTTCATTTGTAGCTTGCCATCATCATCTCTCCTGTTCCAGGCAAAATTAAAGAAACGGAAGCCTCGAGTCAAGAAGGAGAACAAAGCACCCAGACTGAAGGATGAGCCTGGAGTGGAGTTCTCATCCCCTCGACACTCCGACAATCCATCAGAAGAAGGCGAAGTGAAGGTATGGGCTGGGCTTGAACAAAAGGTTCTGTTCTAGGTTACATTTATTATGAAGTCTAGTATGGGAGAACTGTGTGTGGTGTATTTGGAGAGTAGATAAATAAGAATAGGATATGTGTGTATGTGATGAGTTTTGAGTTGAGAGTAGTTTGTTAGAGAGAAGCTCAGTTGTTTGTTTCAGTTAGCAATTGCAGACTCATAGATGATGGAAATGAATGAAGAGAATGATAAGCTTTTTTAATGACATGGCAGCAGACACTCAGCCACTCTGTTGACAATGATAAGGAGGCGTGGTGGAGACTGTGGGAATGGAGAAAGCACAGGCCAGATCAAGGGGGCATCTGTTATTCAGATCAGTTAATTGTTGGATTTGACACAAGAGTTCCCAGTTTGCAACCTTTGATCTAAGCCAGTAAAAAGTAACTTATTATCATTCAGTGTATTGTTTGTTTTAGGTGAGTGATAGTTTTATGGGATTTTCTTTCATTATTCTTAGGATTTAATTGTATGTTGAAACTAGGAAATAGCTTGGATTTGAGGCATAGACATGCACTGAAATCCTAGCAGCCTTACTAATTGTTAGCTGATTTTGGACAGGTCTTTCTAAGCTCTTTGGCGCTCAGTTTCTTCCATCTGTGAACTGTGAATGATAATGCCTATGTTGTGGGGTTGCTAGGAGAAATGAGTGGATATTTATAAAGAACGTCTGATTTTACAGTGTTAGCTGTTACTGCAGATTCAATGATGACCCGTCTGAGGCAGTTTGTCATTTTCTGAAATTAAAAAAGTAAATCTCAACTTTGCCACAAAAGCTCATAGTTGTGGGGACCTATTTGTTTTCTAGGATGATGGTTTAGAGAAAAGTCCAATGAAGAAGAAACAGAAGAAAAAAGAGAACAAGGAGAACAAAGAGAAACAAGTGAGTTCTAGGAAAGACAAAGACGGGGACAAGGAAAGGAAGAAGGCAAAAGATAAGAAGGAGAAGGTATTCTATGTCACTCTGTTTATTAAGATCTCCGCAGCTTCTGAAAATCGTAGGATTTCGATCTAGACTGGAACCTTATATAGATTTATCTAGGAGGGATACATCCTAATTCTGTGCAGAGAGAGAGGAGCATGCAAGTGTCAGGTGCTCCTTCGACACCTGTACTAGACTTGCAGTAGTGTTTACGGAGGGGCGGGCAGTTTGGGCAGGAGGTAGTGCAGGTGAGAGGCACCTGCGTTTAAAGTACATAAATATTCTCAGATTCATGGTGGTGGTGGTTGTGTGCCATCGAGTTGGAACGGATCCATAACTGAGCCTCCAACAGGTTTTCAGAGGCACTTATTTGCAGGAGAGGAGATTGCCTGTTTTCTTGTGGAGCAGATTGTAGATTTGCCTTTGGGATTGCAATACAATCCATGGAATTTGAGTATTTGAAGCTCTTAGGATTCAAAACAGAATTAAAGCTTTTAGAGTAGAAATGGATACAAAGCCTTTAAAAGAATATAATAATAAAAGCCTCTCATTGGGAGTTTTAGAAAGTTCATCACAAACTACAAAATTCAAGTACAATAATTCCGTGCATATTGCTGATTTATAAAGAAAATATTTTGCAAGTAATCCTTGATAATTGTTAAAGTACATAAACACCTGGCCATAATTCGATTTCCTAGTGATTACTCGAGGAGTTCTGGTGGTGCTGTAATTACAGCATTCACCTGCTAACGAAGAAGTCAGCAGTTTGAACCTACCGGCTTCCATATGAGAGGAAGATTCTGTAGTCTGTTTCTGCAGATTCAGAGCCTTGGAAAGCCCTTGCCTATCGGCTTGCTCTGAGTCGAAATTGAGTCAGTGATAGGAGGTTGAATTTGATAACTGCAGTAAATTCCTTTATAAGTATCCTTGGAACTTTTATTTTATGCAGATATGTACATATTTAAAATAAGAATCAGATTTGATATGATTTTCTTCTCTAATAAATAGGACATTAAAAAGCAATATATTCAAATAACTGTGAGATACCATATCATCCCTGTAACAGTAGGAAAGTTCAGCAGGGCAGCAAATGACAAATGCTGGTGAGGTTGTGGAGAGATTGGAAATCTTACTGATTGCTGGTAGGATGTAAAATGGTACAACCACTTTGGGAGGCAGCCTGGTGTGTTCTCAAAAAGTTGGAAAAAGAAATACTATTTGGCCAGCAGTTCTACTACTGGGAATATACCCTAAACAAACCAGAGCTGCAACTAAAACAGATGTATGCACACCAGTGTTTATTGCTGTGTTGTTCACAATAGCAAAGAGATGAGAGCAACCCAATTGGCCATCAATAAATGAATGGATAGAAAACTAGTACATTTACATTCACACAGTGGAATGTTACATAACATTGACAAACAATGAACTCTTAAAACATTACACAACACGGGGGGTGCTGGAGGACATTATGCTGAGTGAAATATTTCAGTCATGAAAAGACAAATACTGCATAATGCTGCTGTTCTAAAACAGGACTGACCTGAGAAGTTGGGGAGAGAATAAGAAAAGAATGGATAGATTGTGAAAACTGCATTGGAACAGATGAGGGGAGGAACTGTCTAAAAGGGATATATGATTAGGCATTAGATGTTTGACAGCAGTCTGGAACAGAGGGTGCATAGCAAAGTGGACTAGGGGAGAAGAGGTAGGGAGGAGGAAAGAAGAAATTTTAAAAGTAACCCAAAAAAGCAGTATGTTCATTTTCTAAGTGAATAAATAACTAAAGATCATTTTTAAAGATGCAGACAAGACTGGTTATAGCTTGTAAAACACAATTTAAATCTCGTATTGAAATTAGGAAGTTCTGGTGACGTAGTTGGTACGAGGTTGCATTGCCAGCCAAAAGGTGGCACCTCTCTGCAGGTTCGAATCTACCATCAGCTCTGTGGGAGAGATGGGAAACCAACCGTATGGTTAACAGCCTCTGAAAATGTACTGAGAGTCCGCTGTGAGGCGGCTCTGACTTGACAGCAATGAGTATATTGAAATGACTTTCAAGGTTTTGATGTTATAAACTGTACTTGGATAGATATAAAAGAAGTGTTTTAAAAAACAAAGAAACATTTTAAAAGTTCTTTCATCCACTATTTCAGATATTATAGCTGTTATTGACATACTTTTATATTTCTGTCAAGTGACTTTTTCTGTTTGGCTGGTGTAGTTTGTGTTTTACGAGCACACTGCTGGTCCTGAGAGTTCTCGTCTGTTATCCTTCCTGCCTGGATTACCCTCTGTAGAAAGCCACCTCTGCAGTTGGCTTGAGATCCTCTCATACACCATAAACACAGCACAGTATTGTTTTACACATTTTGAAAATGTTCACATATGTAATCCTCATATGTATATCCTTCTATAGCTTTTCATTCAATTTCTTGTGAAAATTTATTTCTGTTTATGTACCTGAATTCTGGTCATGCACAATAATTTAATAAATACAGAATCTTAGATCAAAGGTTCAGCTACTACTGAAGGCTTCTACATTATGCTGTATAACCATTATACCACTTTGTAGTCTTAAAATCTTGTATGCAATTTACAGCATTGATGAAGTTGAAATTGCAGTGGCTATGTTGAGAGACAGAAATGGGAATGAAGTATGAGTCAATTATTAATCATACAGGTTTGCTTTCATGATGTCTTAGTGGACTTTATAAAATTCTTTTTAGTAATTGAGACTGTTACATGTACCCACTGTAGTGACATGACGCTTAGGAAGTCCACATTACATGGCCAGATTGCACAAATGACAATCGCTACTTATAACTCTTGTGTTTTATTTTTTAAGCCTAAAGGTGGTGATGCCAAATCTTCAGGTAAATCAAAGCGATCTCAGGGTCCGGTCCATATTACAGCAGGAAGTGAACCTGTCCCCATTGGAGAGGATGAGGATGATGATCTGGATCAGGAGACATTCAGCATAGTAAGTCCTGACATTGAAGGATCTCCATTTGCTGCCATAATGCTTGCCACACCACTCCACCTGATCGGGGAATTAGGATGCTACTTTGGAAACACATGGCTTATAATATTTATAGACCTTGCATTCTGCAGCAACTGGCAGGAAGGGATTTTCTTACTCAATATCGAGCGAGAAAGAGGTATAAGAAATAGATTTCATGTCTTATTTCCTAGTCTGAAAGGCTGCAGGATTCCTGGGGTAATTTCTCCAGGCAAGAAGCATTCATTTAGCCAACCTTTACTGAATACTTTTATTTGTGTACTGTCTGTTCCCTGGTTATCACAATGAGGAGGTACTATTTTTATTTTTACACTGGAGTAGAAGAGAAAATTAAGCCACAAATCATGTTTGCAGTACTGTGCAGCTTGTGAAGAGAAAGATCCAGTACTATGAAAGGATTCAATCCAGTCAGGCACTGTAAGAGAAGACGTGGCAAAGGAAATGATGTCTGTGTTGGGTTTAAAGAGGTAGAGTTAGAAATAACGAGAGAAAGTGGGACAGAACATGCCAAGCCAGGAACAAAGCATGCACCAAGGTTGTGGGGCCAGCTAGCCAGTCCGTTTTCTGGTTCTTCCTTACCCTAGTACTTATGGTAGAAAATAATAACTAATGCTTGTATAGCATCAGACCTTTTAAAATAATGTTGTTACATATGTTCTTGATTGCTGTCAAGTTAAGCACAACTCATAGTGACCCTATGAATAAAAGACCTGAGGCCATTCTGTTTTGTTGTTGTTACTTATAAGCTCATTTAATTTTATTTTTATATTACAAAACCTTAAAAAGTACAATTTAAGAATGTAATTGAAATTGATATAGATACCATGAAGCTTTGATAAATCTGAAAATTTTTTAAGACTAAAAAAAAAATCAAATTTTTTTTCTTACCATCCTAGAAATAACCACCATTATATATTTGATCCTCATTTTCATGCATAATTTTATAGTTTTCTTACTTAAATCTGAAAAGTTACAACAATGGCTCTCATGTAACTAGCCAGCACTATTTGCCTTGTATAGATATTTTGAGATATCCATTTTACATATTACAGATAAGACAGGGAAATTAAGAAACTTATCCTATGTCATACAGGTTGAAAAGGTATGGAGATAGGATGCATCCCTGGCGTACGCCCTTCCCAATTTTGAACCATGCAGTGTTCCCTTGCTCTGTTCTGACGACTGCCTCCTGGTCCAAGTATAAGTTTTGCATTAGAACGATCAAGTGTTCTGGGATTCCCATTCTTCTCAGAGTCAGCCATAGTTTGTTATGATCTACACAGTCAAATGCCTTTGCATAGTCAATGAAACACAGATAGACATTCCTCTGGTATTCCCTGCTTTCAGCCAAGATCCATCTAATATCAGCTACAATATCTCTAGTACCATGACCCCTTGTAAACCTAGCCTGGACTTCTGGTAGTTCTCTGTTGATTTGCTGTTCCAGTTGTTTTTGGATAATCTTCAGTAAAATCTTGCTTGCATGTGAAATCAGTGAGATTGTTCTGTAGTTTCCACATTCTGTTGGGTCACCTTTCTTTGGGATAGGAACAAATATCGATCTCTTCCAGTCAGTTGGCCAAGTGGTTGTTCTCCAGATTTCTTGGCACAACTTGGTGAGCACGTCCAGGGCAGCATCTGTTAACTGAAATATGTCAATTGGTATACCATCTATTCCTGCATCCTGTCTCCATACCTTTTCAACCTATATGCAGAACAGATTATCTGGGAGGCTGGGCTCTCTGAGGAGAAATGTGGGGTCAAGATTGGTGGACGATTTATCAACAATCTGCATTATGCAGATGACAACCCTGCTTGCTGAAACTGAAGAGGACCTGAAGCGCCTGCTGCAGAGTGTCAAGGACTGCAGCCTCCAACATGGATTGAGGCTCAATGTCAAGAAGACAAAGCATCAGGATGGATGGTGAAGAGATTGAGATTATACACAGCTTTAGTTTGCTTGGCTCCATAGTCAACAGTCTTGGCACCAGCAGCCAGGAAATTAAAAGGTGCATTTCCATGGGAAAGTCTGTTGTTAGGGACCTCTCCAAAGTACTGAAGAGCAATGGTGTCTCTCTGGAGACTAAGGTGTGTCTGATACAGGCCATGGTCTTCACAATCACTTGTTATGCATCAGAGAGTTGGACAATGACCAAGGAGGATAGAAGGGGAATTGATGCCTTTGAGCTGTGGTGCTGGAGAAGAGTATTGAGAATACCATGGACTGCTAGGAAAACAAACAGGTTTGTCCTGGAAAGGGTTAAACCGGGTGGCTCCTTGGAGGCAAGGATGCTGAGGCTCCGTCTAACATACTTTGGACATGTTGTGAGGAGAGACCGGTCCTTAGAGAGGGACATCATGCTTGGGAGGGTAGAGGGACAGCACAGGAGAGGAAGGCCCTCTGTGGGGTGGATTGATTCAGTGACTGGGATAATTGGGATGGGAGTGTCAGAGACAGTGCGATTGGCACAGGACAGAGCTGAGTTTAGGGCTGTTGTACATAGGGTCGCTATGAGTCGCAAGCGACTCGATGGCACGTAACAACAACAACATCCTATGTCACAGTGCTAAGACCTAGAACAAACATTTGATACAGGAGATTTGGCATGACAGCTTGGGTTCTTAATCGTTATGGTATAGAGCCTCCTATGTATTTGTAAAGCTCTCCATGTTTTAAAATGGTATAAATGGTTCCCTGTGTATATCCTGAAGCTTTTCTTCTTTCAGCATGGAGTTTTATCCAAGTTGTGAATTGTGACTGTTTGAAACGTGACTCAGTAATTCAGAAGAGATTGTGGCATATCATTAAGAATATGTACTATAGTGACTTTTGGTGGGATGATGAACTAGTCAGACAAGTACACCACTGTGCTGTTTGGGAAAAACTTGAGATCAAGTTCAGGAACGAAGAATAGTGAAAGCACAAGTAAGGGTCTAGTAATCAATGCTGGAAACCTGGCCTCAGGCAGGGTTCAGATTCCACAAAAAGAAAAGAGGAAAAAAAGAAAAAAAATCCTGCTTTAATTAGGGCATCCACCGCAGAGAAATCAGGACTTCATCTTTCTCCTGCTTATGGATGACTGTCCCAGCAAACTTACATCTGAATGGAAAGGATACACGGGGGTGGGGATTACAGTTAGGGAAAAACATCCAAAAGGAAGAAAATTAGTCTTTCTAGTCACCTACTAGATATCTGAGAACTGGACAGTGAATAAGGATGACAGGAGGAGAATTGATATGTTTTGAGTTGTGGTGTTGAAGAATGCTGAGTGTCCCGTCGACTGTTCAAAACCCAAATAGCTATGTCTTGAGAAAAGGGTAACCAGAGTGCTCCTTGGAAGTGAGGATAGTAAAATTTTGTCTCATGTGCTTTGGGCATGTTGTTAGGAGAGGCTATTATAAAGATAAATGCAGAAATACATAGAATAGAAAACAGAAAAACAGTTGGAGCTATCAACAAGACTGGGAGTTGGTTTTTCAGAAGAGTAAATAAAATTGACAAACCATTGGCAAGTCTAACAAAGGAAGTGAAAGAAAAGATCCAGATAACTCAAATAAGAAATAACATGGGTGATATAACCAGAATCAACCAAACTTAAAAAGTTAATAATGGAAAATTATGGAAAACTATGACAGCTTTGAAAACCTAGAGGAAATGAACAGATTTTTAGAAACTCACACCCTACCCAGTGACACACACAGACGTAGAACCCTTGAACAGACCCATCACAAGAGAAGAAATAGAGCAGGTCATAAAAAATCTCCCAGCAACAACAACAAAAATAATCCTAGCCCAGATGACTTCACAGGAGAATTCTGTCAAATGTTCAGAGAAGAACTGTCATTGATCCTGTTTAAATTATTTCAATATATAAAAAAAAAGGATTCACTAATTCTATGAAGCAAGCACAGCCTGATGCTAGAATCAGGTAGAGACATAACCAAAAAAGGAAACTAGAGACCGGTATCCCTCATGAACATAGATGCAAAAATCCTTAACAAAGATTATAGCAAATAGAATCTAGTAGTACATCAAAAGAAGAATTTATTTTGATCAAGTGGGATTCATAACAGGCATGCAAGGATGGTTTGACTTGAGAAAAACAGTCTATGGAATTCATCACAACAGTGAAACAAAAGAATCACATGGTCACCTAAGTTGATGCGTAAAAAGCTTTGGACAAGATCCAACATCCTTTTCTGATTAAAATACTAAGCATTTTATAGGAATAGAGGAGAGTGTCCGCAAAATAATTGAGAGCACATGCTCTGAACCAATAGCCAACATCATCCTCAGTGGAAAGACATTAAAGGAACTCTCTTTGAAAACAGGGACCAGGCAGGATGCCTACCATCACCACTCCTATACATTATTGTATTGGAAGTCCTAACTAGGGCAGTAAGACAAGAGAAGGAAATATGAGGCATTTGTAGTGACAAAGAGGAAGTAAAACTATATGTAGATGATATGATAGTGTACATAGAAAACCTTAAAGGCTCAGTGAAAAGTCAGTGGCTCACTATTAGACTTACTAGACCATTTCAGCAGAATGACCATACAAGATCAACACACAAGATCAGTCAAATTTCTCTGCATTAATAAAGAAGCCACTGAAAAAGAAATTTAAAAATGCCAACTACAGTAGTCAATCACAAGATGAAAAACTTAAGAACAGATTTAACTAGAGATGTTAAAAACCAATTTCAAGAAAATTATAAAACATGAGTACAAGAAACAGAGACCTAGACAAATCGAAGAATATACCATGTTCATGGATGTTGTTATTACGTGCTGTTGAGGTCCCGTGACTCATAGTGACCCCATGTACAATAATTCTGAAGCTGCCCTGTCCTGAGCCAGTCTCGCTGACTTTGACACACCTATCCCCATTGCCCCAGTTACTGTGTCAGTCCATCTCATCTGGGGTTTTCCTCTCCTGCGGTGTTCTTCCACCTGTCCA